AACTGCTGGTCCCCGCTGTTTCTATTAATGGTGCTTCCAATATCCATCCAATCAGTTGCTAAGTCCTGAAGACTCTGCTTATGCAGTGTTCTTCTGGTCTGCCTTCTCCTTATTCATTAGTCCACTTAGGGTTACTGTCATGCTCCAGACCAATGAACCGGCCTCGTTCTTCAGTCTCTTCTTACTCCAATCTATCTGACAGTGCTGTTAATCTTTCAAATGCACCTATCTGATAATACAGCTCTTTTCATTACACTCATACACACTCATCCAGCCTTCCAAATGCTCTTCGCTCCAGGCAATCTGGACAGCTACTTATTCCCTCTGCATGGAACATGCCTTGTGCTTCCTGACTGTGTATGTTTGCTCATACATTTTCCCTCTGGACTGTCCTTTCCTCATACCTCTTACTTAAGACAGTTCAAATGGAAATAAAAATATGTGGATCAACTGCCACAGGAAATACGTAAGTTGATGAGAATCTGGAGAATACAAATAAAAAGTGCCAAATCCAAGAACTATTGAAAAATAAAAAATTCATTTGGTCAGTATCTCTCGGGCAGGCTCCATGAAACATATTACACTAAGGTAGCGCACACCCCATTGTTATTTCTAAAAGTTCTGCTGGGAGGCAACAGGGGGTTTCTCTTAAGCCTATGGATTTAAATTACACATGCTATAGGTGCTCTTCATTAACCCAAATGGTTCAGAATCGCCTGTAGTGTAACCGCTTAGTGTTTACTGTAATTATTTCCCTCTCAAGGCTCTGAGCCAAATAAGGTTGAGGAGGTGAGGAATGGAGAGTGATAGACAGGATTCCCTGAACCTGGTCTGTCCCTATCATCGACAATCCTCCTTCTTTGGGATTCTGTTCACAGACATTAAAGATCCATCACATACCTAGGATTTCTCAGTGACAGATGCAAAGTAGCTCAAATTTACAACTTTCTTACATCTTTCTTCCGTTAGCACTTCCCCAATGTTTAGGGTAAAATAAAGTGTTTTAAGTGTGTGTTTGTATTGTTTTTTGTTTTTTTAGTTTTGTTTTGTTTTTTTGTTTTTTGTTTTTTGTTTTTTTTCTTTTAGTTTTTTGTTATAGGACACATGACTTGCCAGAAAGAGACAGAAAGGGAGAGGGAAAAATGAGAAAGTGCCCCATAGGGGCTGGCCATGCCACAATTCCTTCCCCAATCTCCTTTCAGGATTCTGGCCATGCACACTCATGTGCCCACTGTGATTTTCAAGCCACCAGGTCTGGGACTTAAACCATGGAATCGGCCATGTGGGATCCAGCACATTAACCTCCATGCTACTCACTGGCTTTTTTGAGAGTGAGAATTAATAATGATGAGCAGCAAGTGATCAAGTGATTGTTTCTTTTGAGTTTTAGAGAGGAGGCTGAAAGGAAGTAAAGGAAGTAGGAACAGGAAGCCACAGCCCTCTGGTCACTGGTGCCTACTTCCCATGGATTGTAATTATTCTGGGTTATGGAGGCCTGATTCCTAAGCCCAGGAGAGGCGAGACAGATCAGATAGGTGGAGGTGGTGAAAGACAAATGACACAGGTAAAGATGTGTCGAACCTGCTTGTCCTCACTCTAACAGCAAGATACGAACAAGTGGCCTGGAGACCTCTTCCATGAAATCCAAAGACTGGATTCTTGGGCCTAGCTGTGGTGGTATAGGTGACAGAGTACGGCTCCCCAGTACTGGAGCCATATCCAGGTTTGGATCCCAGGATGACCCAAATATGCTGGGTACACAATCCTGGTTGGCTGGAAGGTTGGGGCAGGGGAATGACTGTGATGTGGTTAGACTATGTCAAGGATCTCGCTCAATAAATACATAAACTTGAAAAAAAAATGCAGATCCTTAGACCTTCCTCTCAGACCTTCTGGATCAGTCTCTAGAGAGATGGCCTGGCACTCTGCAGTCTTTGTGAGTCCACTCAGTGATTCTAACACACATTAAAGATGGAGAATCACTATCCCAGTACTGGCAAACTATGGTCTGCAGGCTGGGAATGGCCTTTAAGTTAAAAATGATTTTTGGAGCCAGCCTTGTAGCCTCATGGTTAAGAGAGCCAGATTCCATATGGCTGGCCATGGTTGGAATCCTGGTCCCAGGGCTTGAACACGCCAGGCATGCATGCATACATGCTTACCCAAAAACCCAACAGGATGGGCAAATGGAGAAGAGAGTGCAGCGTAGACCACACTTCACTGGGGAGTGTCTTCTCCCTCTCTCTGTTTCTCTCTCTGTCTCTCTCTCTCTCTGGTAAAGGCATGCACCTGATAAATAAATATTTTCAGGTCCAGCCTTGGTGGCACAGTCAGTAGCAGACTGGACTGCAATGTAATGCTGGAAGCCACATGGCTGACATAGGTTCAGATATGAAAACACACCAGGCAGGGGCCAGGATCCTGAAGAGCTGGAGGGCTGGGGAAAGGAGATCACAGGGAGACAAGACCCTATGGAGGGTGCTTCTCTCTCTCCCTGTCTCTCTGTTTCTTGTGTGTGTGCATGCCATGAACATAATTTTTAATGGTTTTTACATGGTTAAGGGTTATAAGAAAAAAGAAGAAAACAGAGACTAGGAAAGAAAACACAGAAGAAGGCAACATGGCCCACAAAGCCTAAAACATTTATTCTAGGGCCCATTCACAGAGAAGTTTCCTGATCTCTATCTAGTGTATCGTAAATAAAAGGCTTTATCTGAATTTAACCCCATCCCAGTCCTGCCACAGCTAAAATAACGGTGTAGCAGACCTTTAAAAAAAAGTTGAGAATGATAAATACATAAAGTTATCACCGAAAAGTGCATTTGAACTAAGTAGAGGGAGTAGATATCAAAATATAGTCTATATACTTCTGCAATGTCTTTGAAACATATTTTCATCCATATAAGAATTTTGAAACTTCCATTTGATTCTATCCTCCATGTAGTTATCCGATGGCTATATATCACAAATTAGTCCAATACAGTTATTGCACATATATTCTTTATTGGACTCTGCATGTCCTCAAGTATATCACAGTCACATACATGAGGAAAAAAATGTACAACTGTATCACCAGATGTCTGAGGAATGAAGATACTATAAATTCTCAAAACAACACATAGGAAATTAACACAAAGGGCATAAAGGAAAATTAAATGTTGCATCTTTTTACATAAAAGGAGTTTTAAAAATTAGAGAGGAGTTCCACCTGTTGGAAATTTTGGAAGAGAGGATGTCAACCCACTTTAGGAAGGGTTCAGATATTCAGATTGTGTTCAAGAGGCTCAGCAACCGGGAATTATGCCAGATAGTGTCATAGAGTAATGCTAATACCAGAATGCAGTTCCTTTAGGGGAAGTTTCTAGATGTATGCTCTAGATACTTTCTAAAATTTTGTTTATTTTTGATGTGGAGAAATCTAGAAATAAATATTGGCTTTAAAAATAGGCTGTATTAACTTGCCAATGAATTGTCTTGGAATTGTGAACTGAAATGCCTCACACAATTGTGTGTGTGTGTGTTTTCCTAATGAAAAAGAATGTTAAAACCTTATTAGCAACTAATAGTTTTGATAAAGATTTAAACTGCCTAAATTTTTTTTAAGAAACAAAGTTTAAAACACCAGATAAAGTCTTGAAACCTAGCAGGCTTCACCATTTAATAAAATTATGACTCATTTTAGTAAGAACATGCTTTTTTAGTAAGAAAAATGCTTTCTGAGCTAAGTTTGAACTGCTGGGGCACATGGGACACCCACAAACCCAGTCAGCAGAAGTCTCAAACTCCTAAAAGATTAAAGGAAAAATAAATTAGTGTGTACAGAGAATGAAAAAAAAATCCCCAATGGTACTAATCTATAAACGGAAGTAAAACTAAAACTCCCCTAAAATCCCCCTATTATCAATCCTTACAAATTCAACACTTATCTTCTCTCTTTGCTTCTTTGGGAACCCCTAGTTAAATAAACACAAAAGTCTTCGCTTACTTTTACGTTGTAAAATAGAGCCCTCCGATTGCACTAAGCACGGACGCCGACCCCCATAACCGCAAACTCTTGAACTTTTAAAACCAGGCATGCAAAGACGGGGTTTCCTGAGTTGGGCTAGGGGCGGGCTGTTTGGAAGCCGGTGGATTATTCTGCAGGTGTGTAATCCTGGGCGCGCGCTGTGCCAGGGTGGAGGTGTGAGGTGGGCGCCGCCTGGGCCGGGCGGAGTGGGTGGGACCGGCGCGTGCCCGGGTGAGAGTAAAGGGCCTGTGACAGGCGACCGTGGCGTGACGGCTACCGGATCTGGGAGGTGAATGAAAGCTCGGTCGGGGTGTCCCAAATGTGTGACACATGTCCTTTGTCTAGTAAGTTAAATTAGAGATGAGCCTTATTTAAAAACAAGCAAGTAGCCCAACGTCCCATGAACAGACCCGTTCCTGTCCCCTACTTACCACCACCCCAGTGCCCCCATCTCCCACACAACTGAGTTTTGAATCCTGCCTAAAACCCAATCCTGAACGCGGGGGTCTCGCCACCCACCCTGGCCGCCCCCGCGGTAACGAGGCCAGTCCAGCGAGCTCGGGCTCCGGTGTCCCTGAGCCTGCCGAGTTGGGCCACCGCGGTGCGATTGCGGAGGAGGAGGGAGGCGGCATCAGCCGGACTTGGCGCGGGCCAACGCCGCCGCAGCGAAGGAGCGGGGTTTGCGCAGGAAAAGGCGCCGCCGCGGAGGGCGCGTGCGCACTGCAGGGGCGCCAGATTTGGCGGGAGGGGGAGTGTCCAAAGCTCTTTGTTTGATGGCATCTCTGTTTACAGAGTTTACCCTTTAATATCAACCTGTTTCCTCCTCCTCCTTCTCCTCCTCCTCCGTGACCTCCTCCTCCTCCTCCTCTTCTTTCTCCTGAGAAACTTCGCCCCGGCGGTGCGGAGCGCCGCTGCGCAGCCTGGGAGGGACGCAGGCAAGCGGCGGGCAGCGGGAGG